ACATTTTGCATGAAGAGCTGAGTCTCCACAAACTCTGTGCAAAATGGGTTCCCCATAGGCTTTCAGAGGAACATAAATTTCCAAGCAACTATTAAAAATTTTAGACGGGGGGTACAGAAACATTGTTACTGGTGACGAAACATGGATATATTTCTTTACTATTTCAAATAAGGAAGCGAACAAGTCATGGCTAGAAAAGGATGAGAATAGGCCACAAATAGTGAAGACGACTCAAAATTCGAAAAAAAGAATGTTTTGCATCTTTTTTTCTGTAGACGGAGTCATTACACGATTTGTGGTTCCAAAAGGACAAACAGTTAACGCTAACCTTTACGCCAACGAGATACTACCAAAAGTTTTTTCAAACTTTATGGAAAAAAGGGGTAGAACGACTGTTCGTGACGTCATGCCGCAGCGCATAAGGCAAGAATCGTAACGGAATATCTTCGTAACGAGCGAGTGGAACTTCTTCCCCACCCACCATACAGTCCAGACCTTGCTCCTTGTGATTTGTTCTTATTCCCTCGAATAAAGAAAGAACTAAAGGGAAAGATATTTGATAAGGTCGAAAATTTGGCAAGGGCTGTTCAGGCAGTTGTTGAAGGTATCCCAAAAGAGGACTATGAGAACTCTTTCCAGAGTTGGCGAAATCGGCTAGAACGTTGTATAGAGTTTAATGGAGAGTACTTTGAAGGAATGAAGCAGTTGTATTGATAATTATTACAACAGTTCTGGAAATAAACGTCCACGCGCAAAACTTTTCAGCCCCCCCCCCACGTAATGGAATACGTTCTCCAAAAGTTATCGGCATTCGTTTTTCTTCAAAGATTGCAATCGGGTTGAGATCGGTGCTATTAGCCGGCCAATCCATAACTGATGGCACATTCTTCTCAAGAAATCGCTTAGCAAAACGGCTAGCATGCTTCAAATCGTTATCTTTCAGCCATCTTTGCCTATCATTTTCTCAATTTCTGGAGCCAACTCTGTGCATCATAATTTTGAAAAACAAATTCGAGTATTTTCATAGCTTTCCCGAACAATAATCTTCTGGCAGTGTTTTGGTATAGGTCTGATTGGTTTTTGGCCTTTGTGTCAATAGCAAATGGTATTTCAGAAGAGTTTAATAGCAGTTTCATCTGAAAATAATCTTTGATGCCAGTTGTCATTTAGATAAAGTCGTGCCCATTGTACTTGTCTTTCTTTGTGAGCTTCTGTGAGCATGGCATGGATGTAATGTTGGGCAACTTTTTTGATATCCAATATTGTTCAGATGTTTTGAAATTGGTGTTCGGGAAATCACGATGCCTTTTTTTCGACGAATATACTGTCCTATAGTCTTTACAGTTTCTGATGCAATTTTCTTCGGGCGGCCGCATTCGCGTTTACATTCCACAGTTCTGCTTTTCATCTGCTTTTTCGGATTATCATTACCTCCAAGTCCTTAAAGAAAAAAATTCAGCAATTTGGTTTTTCTATGTAATTCGTTGCCATTTCGAATTCTCATCCGCCCAAAATTTAAAACAATGTTCGTTTTTGGAAAGTGGCATATTGAAGGTAAATTTTTTGCAAGGTACCAAGTCAATGCTATTATGAATAACTCCGAAATTTTGGACACATGAGACGCGTTCAAATCAAATTTAAAATTCCCGGAACACACTATATATTAGATATGCAACACACATTCAAAACAGAAGTTCAAAAGCTGGGCTAGATATTCAGGAAGATCATTACCTCTACATCACCAGCTTCTTCCAATGCAAGTGGTCTTTTTTTGGCATCTTCTGTTGAGTGGTCCTATTTTTTCTCTCGGATTTGCGATTAATATTGACCTGGTTTATTTGGTCTGAAATAATAAAGCTAGATTCCGCCGGTAGCGCTAACCAAGTTTATAAGTGCAATATAAATACAGTCGAACCTTGTTATACCGAACCTCGTTTTTTAAATAGTAAAGTTCCCTCATTATAACAAATTCCAAAGTTCGATACAGGATTTTTACATGGGCTTTATACCAAAGTTTTGTCATGTGATAAAAATTCAGAATAGTGATTGGTTGTAGCAGATGAGGATCATACGCAGTATTAAGATTTTTAATAGTATGATTTCAGCCAATATTTTTGATCTTATATCCTGTTTCCATGTATTATCGTTTGTAAATTGAAGTAAAGATATTATTCACATAAGTCTCATTATAACGAATATTGCTTGACCTAGGCCTAACTTCGTTATAGAGGTAACTCACTATTGCTATACCGAATGTCTCGTTATTATTATTATTATGCCGAACACTACTGTAGTGCCTCACATCACATGATCCCTCGCTACTTCAGCCACAATACGATTAAATTGCACGTGACGCAGGGGTAAATACACTCAGAGGTCACGGGATAACAAGTTGATCGAACATACAGAGAATGTCTTTTAATGAGAGAATTCAATACATACGTTCGGTGAATAATAAATAATATATTGTAAATTACTTTTTTTTTTTTTACTTCCTACTGCTCAAAACTCAACCGCAATAAAATAAAAAGTAAACAAAATGGAAATATATAATAAAATCTACAATTGTGGTAATATGCACAAAGAAATCAAAAAGAATTTACAATTACTTATTCTCCATAACGGACACATGTACGTGCTCTCTAGTTTTCGCAATTAAAATAATGACAATGTGAGATGTGCAAAACAGGAACGTGTCAATAGAATAAACGATTGTTCAATGAGGTATGGGTCTTCTTACAGTAAACAGAACGAAATCTGTAGCGGTGATTGTTCAATACTTCGATGCAACCAGAGAAGTATGGAATATTATATACCATCACTATATACACTCAATGACTACAGAGCCAAGCTACTTCTCCGGTGTCACACATTAAGTCCATGTTCTACCATTGATTGCCGTCACCAAGTACAAATATCGTTATTCACGAAGAAGCGATTGGGGGGGAATTAGCGTATCCCGTATGTGTACCTTGAAAGAAGCAATATCGTTCAACAAGCTCGAAATAAGATGTCGATCCAATTGCTGGCTTTGATGGGATGGCAATGGGAGTGGAAGAAGTTGTTATCTTGACATTTCTTCCGAAATCCCCTTGGTTGTTTGACTCTACGCTGGCCGAAACTCCATCAATACGACTATTTGAAAAGAATGCCTTGAGCGAGTCGTTGTTAGCGTCAGAGATGGTTGGAGGGTTATATGATGATAGTTCACGAGAGGGCCTAGTTGGTTGCGACGATTTGGGTGTCGGAGTAGTCATCGCCGCGGACAACGAATCGTTAATATTATATCTGTTCTTGATAGACTTCTTATTTGTAGCCGACACCGAAGACGTGTAACGAGACGATACAATCGATGGGGGCGAGCGAGAAAATTCTTCATTAATAGGCACATCTTTTTTTGCCTTGGACCGAACCTTGGACATAGCCTTTCGAGATCTTGACTTGTTGACGGGCTCTCGTCGGACACGTTTGAAATCTACTTGATAATTGGATCCGTTGTTATTGTCCCAGTAATCGGTCAAGTTCACATTATACCTGATGGCAAAGTACATGGTACGGCCATCTATGGAGTTACGAGAATTATCGGTGAATTCGATGGAGAATATAAATGTATCATAGTTGCTTTTCTTGCGATCTTGGGTATTCTCAGAATATGTGGCAGATATTTCCGAATACGTTCGCCAAAAGTCAAAGGAATATCTGACGGACACTGATTTTTGAAATGCCAGATTTCGTACGTGGATACGACCCATCAGTGCACGTCTATCAGGAGAAAGATAAACTTGTTCCAGCGATACTCGTTTTGAACTGTGCTTTGTCGTAATTCGCGGAAAGTTGGGTAAGGAAATAACAAGTTCGGGTTCTTCCTCGTCTTCCGACAAAGAAGTTTCAGATTCATCGGATGAAAACTCTTCTTCAGATGATGCCTCAGCGCTGACTGCTGTTGGTTTCTCTTGTTCGAAGAACCATTTTACATGTTCGAGATCGTTTTCATCAAAATGGACGGCCTTGGGACAGGTAGGTGTGACAGGAGCCGACTTTGCCTTCTTCAGGGAAGATTTTACCACTTCACCGTTTTGTTTCCGGAGTATATTTTCGCAGGTCTCTAGAACGGACACACAGGCATTGAGGTCGATTTTTCGGGGACATGACTCTGAATTTGATCTTCGGGAACGTGGTGAGCCAGAGAATGGAGGAATATCTTTGACTTCTCTTCTAGCTCTGTGTTTTTCTGAAGTTGCGAGCATGTTGATTGGGTTTGGTCCGGGGGCCGAGTATGGCATATTGATTGAGAGAGTATGGTTGGACGTGCTGAGATCGTTCATACAGCAATTAAATAGTTTTTTGCTCAGTTATGATTTGAAAGCGTAACTATGGAACAATAAAGATTCGGGAACTTGGGAGAAGAGTTGACGATATTAATGTTACCAGGTATAATAAGTGGTATGATTAATATTAATGGTTCCCTTTTCCGAATGAAGCTGACGTTAAGAATTATTGTATGTAGAATGTAGAGTGATTGTGGAAACGGCTGTTTAATTGTATGCTATAGCTGTGAGCAAGTCTGAGATAGTGTTATTTCAGTTATTGTATGTTTAGAGTCACCTATTGATATTATATTTACAAGTGACGTTTCGGGTGAAATGGTGAAATGGTGAAAGGTGAAAGTTTTGATTGTATATATTTTTTTGACAGAGAGACACTTTTGAAGTGTTGGACGGGGAGATGGACGAGTTGGTATAGTTTTTATTTTAGTTTTTTTTTTTTTGTCAGGAGATACGGATTCATATAAAATAATACAATAGTAAAGTAAGTTGTATAGTCAATATATATATATTATATTGTTTAACAATGGCCGAGAATATATGCATGTATAAATAATATTTCAATTCAATTCAACAAATTCAACATCAATACATTGTACAAAAGTTGTATATGCCATTGTATATTTATATGTTTATTTATCAGATATTGCGGCTCCTTGTATCTCGTGATAGTACATTATTATACATGAATATAAATCAAATATATCCTATTCATAATAATAACAAATAACGCACAACAATAACAGCTACGCCCCAAACCATCTCCACAGAAAGAGTGATGCGCATGAAAGCCATACTCGGTTCAACTGATATGATCAGATAACACTTCGGGTAAAAAATGGAAAATTTGGAATGCTTGTATATATACTGTATCTTGTGGTTTGGTTTGCATTGTCTGAAGATTATTGTCGTCAACGTTTGCTTCCGTTAACTGATACATTCGCTTTGTATTAGCAATAGCAATATTACATTCGCCATCCATGTCATTCCTCCCTACGCGCACGAGAGCGTTATTACACATTATTGCATTCCTTGCTAACTGACAACTCGTGCGCGTCCTGAGACTTTGATACAAAGTAATGCGATAATATAATGTGTATATCATGGATATATCTTTTACCATTTCTTTTCCCATGTGAAAAAAAAAAAAAGTCACGTGAAACGTATATAAACAGTCACTATCACTTGTTGCTATTACTGCGTTTTGGATGATGACTAATGATTGATTTGCATTCAATGATCATGCGATAAGAGCACACCAAAATTTTTCCCACCTAGCATCCCATCCCCTTCCGAAAATGACAACAAAACAATGACCTGAAAATTGGAAGTTGGAAATGAGGCTCACTCATATAATGATAATATGGACAACTATCACTTCATCGCAAGAGTCGAGAGTCCATTACAGTTTTGCTTGGTTCGCACTCACCAAGCGTCTCGTCAATTCAACCACTATCCTTTATTCTATGCGCATGCTATACAAACAAACCCCTCCTTGTCGTGAAGTTTATTTGCGGGAATAATCGATTAATTAGGGAATAAATTAAGCAGATACAAAGAGATAAGAAAATAATATGGTATTGTGATAGCCATGATAAACCTTGGCCAATGACACTAATGAAAACTCGTAGTTTTGCACCAATCGCCTGATTTCACACACCCAGACACTTTAGACAGCGCCCTTATCACGCCATTTTTTATTCTGAGATTCCTGGAATTCTGGACTGATATCCAATAAAACTTTGTTATATGAATTAGGTTAATTAGAAGAATACCCACGATATTAACATTAACATATGCATTTTGTCGTAAAACAAAAGTTTATATGCCTATACTGTGAGTATGGTCATATTACTATTACGAACAAATAGAATAGATATTAATGCGCATGTATTGGCGTCGAGATGTGTTATTTGCTACTATCCATCTATCTGATATGTCATATTGATAGCATTTCATCAAACGCTTACGTCTCATTGGCCAACAACATTTCACCAAAACCTCGCTTGTACAAAAACAAAGGTCTTCCTCCAAAAACCTGTTATTATTACTATTATGTTTTATCTTATGTGGTTACATTTGATGTCTTGTTACTTTATTTATCCTCGCATTGACTTTACCCCCCTATATGTCATAGCTTGTGTATCTATCAACAAAAGACAAATAACAATTAATTGGTGATTAATGTCAAAGCTGATAATTATACGCCCACTTTAACGTTGTCCAATGGCTAAATTTGGTAATATCGTCTGATTTATAATGTCATGTGAACAGCCAGACACTCAAGTTATCTATCAATCAATTAGCCGTATATAAGGGTTTATTTATAATTATATAATAAATAATAAATATAACAAACAATTTATTGCTTTGTTGCGCCCTTTATTCGGCTAGAAGGCAAATTACACAATTTGTGTGATGTCTCAACCCGCGTTAACTCAAAATCAGGTTAGACAACAGACTAATAACACAGTTATAACTTACTCTTTAAACTCTTTTCTTTGTATGCCACATACAGCAGTAAATTGTTTGTATATGTTTCAAAGCCAAAACGCATTGCATCGATCTGGTAATATGTGATTGGCGAAATGGGAGAAAGATGAATTGGCGGATACATACATTCAATGAGAACGTGCAAGTGCATGCATATCTTCAAGCGATTGCAATACATTCAGCAAACCAAACGCATTTTTTAACGTTCAGAATAGGGCGGTGAGTATAGCAGCAAAGTTGATAGCGTGCCAACCAGTTATAGATACTTGATTAATTTCCATGTTATATTTTTGGGTGATCGGTCATTTAAACATTAGCCAATAGATTGCCAAGCTACGGCAACCCGCTATAGCTAGCAGCCAATAGATTGCCAAGCAATGGCAACCCGCTATGGCTAGTGGCCAATAGAATTCCCCTCGGGGAAATAACCTCCGGATAAGCTATCACTAAAAAATTTTTTTCCATCATGGCTGCTGATTCGCTCGCTGATAAGCATTATAGATAAGCATTACAAGTTGCGATCGTCGCATACTAATATCGAGTTGTTACGAGTTAATATCTTTTTGCCAATTAATTTAGTCATGCCAGTATTTGTATTCGTCCGAGTGTTTTTCCTGTCTATCGGAAACATTTTGTTGCCCCACAATAGTAAAGGTAATCCCTTGTTATTTTTCGTTGTTTGCCTAAGTTACGTTATCTGTAAATCACTCAATTGCATAGGAGTTAACTGCTGATGTTCGTATTTATCCCCATTTATATCGCTCATCGATAACAAGCACCGTATCGTTAGCCACATACAACTATACACACGCACGAATTTACAACAGTCTTGCATCCTGCGCCATTCCTGTTGTCAGTCACAATTCACAATAACGAAGACAATAACTCGATTATTCGGTAATTAAGTATTTACCGAATAAACCTGCTAACCTATGGTCATAACATTCGATATATCCATAAACATACCAAGACACTCCCACAGTCTGCGTTCCCACTCTCTTACAGACAAACCTTATCAGCTTCCAACGTTCCACTATGTTGAAAATTCAAATGCTTGTTTCCCCTGTGTAGCACGTAAGGCGCACTGATATGGACATCCGTCAGCGTGATTGACATTGCACTCTCAAAACTCGGACATAACATCTCGCATGGAGATCGACTATGGGTGCTTATTGGATGAGTGGCGAAGTATTCACATGCTATTGGATAAACAACAAGGGGAAAGGTAAATGCTGAAAAATTTGAAAAAAAAAAGACTGTGCTTGACATCATTTTTTACATGATAGCATTGATAGCGCAACTGTGCAGACAGACAGATAGATAAGTAAATTAGATAAGAAATAACTATTAAAATATTATATCGTAAACATATAAATAAATAAACCTGTCTTACGTCGACGCCCGATCCCATGACTCGATTAGTGCTCTCGCCACTATTTACCTTGCCTTTGCCACCTTCATCCATTTCCTGTTTGGCGTTTTATATAATCAAGACAATTGTAACAAATGTATAAATCTACTACCATTACAAATGAGAGTGGCTAGTTTTTAAAGATGATGGTATGAATTTTAAGTTACTATACACTGAGTATCCATTTGCTATTGTCTTTCGCCCTTTTTTTTTCTTGCGTGAGAAAATGATGTCAATGCACTTTGCAAGTAAAAATTTAAATATGATTTGTAATCTTACGCTGGGATGGAGTTATTGGACGGAGCGAAATCGCATGAGTATGTCATGCAGTAAAGGACAAACACTACTGACAATCAACGCATGTTTGAATCTATCGTTTGAACTTTAGTCTTTCAAACGCTTACTCTAAATCTTTCAGCCTTGCGGAGCATCTGTCCACTTATTCAGACTCACTTTTCTATCCCACCGATGAGTGAAAAAGAAAAATCTGTTTACTTTTTTTTTTTGTGTTCTGCATATTTATTACTCGATCAAGCCAATGCATAATGTGGAGAGCATCGTGTAACGTTACGAGATAATCTAACCGAATATCGATTCATTAAGCAAACAAACTTGGCTTCACTGGTAACTGGCGAGAAATGGGGACAATCTGTTGTCCATCCAATCGGTAACACAATTCAAGTAGTATATTAACAATCAGATGGTCCTTTATAGAGGCGAAATAAAGGGGAGAGAAGCGAGGAAGACATTCCGTCGAGAGTGAATTCATTCTTTATGGTAGCATCACAAATATTAAAGCCATGCGAGAAGAACAGACATTCATCACTAATGCAATTGGAAGGATGCTTCGAAGTCTCTAAATGCCCCAGTCCCACCTCAGAGGACTTAGTGCTAAATGCACACTCTCTATACTTTGCATTCGTATTTATTATTATGCACTCAAGGTGACATTAATTATCAGAATTACCAAACTTGGTACAATTGTAACCAGACGTTGATTGTCTTACCATCGTTGATCAGGTCATAAAATCAGGTCATAAAATCAGGCCATCGT